GCATGGTTTCATGAAAGGTCGCTCGTGCATCACCAACCTACTGTTGACGAGGCACGAATGGTTACAAGCGCTTGTTTAAGGCAAATCGGTCGACGTCATTTACATTGACTTTAGTAAGGCTTTTGACAAGATAAATCATTCAGTGCTCCTGGACAGGATGAGGGTGTGCGTTGTTGGTGGATCGCTGCATCGATGGATCAAGAATTTCCTTGTTGATCGAATGTGGAGAGTCCAGGTGGACAACCATCTAACTGACTGCTATCCATCGAGCAGTGGAGTGCCCCAAGGCATTGTACTGGGGCCTATTTTGTTTCTGATCCATGTAAACGATGTACCCCATCTACTCTAATCACATTGTGCGTTGTTCGCAGATGACTTGAACGTATGGAGAGCAATCCGCACACCTAATGATTGTGATCTGCTTCAACAGGACCTCGACCGTCTCTCCACTTGGTCTGCAGAGGATCAACCCGGTCAAGTCGCAATTCATGAGGCTGGGTAAGTGTGAGCACAGTCGAACCTGTACGGTGGCCGGTCAACCGTTGCCTCTCGCGCCTGTCGTGCGAGATCTCGGTGTACTATCACGCTACGACATCAAGTCCATGGACAACATGAATAGACTTTACCAAAACAGCCTTCGTATGCGTTGGGCGCTCAGGCGCAGCTTCAGCACTTGGTCCGAAGAGATTGTCACGCTTCTTCGTCTCATTAATACGACCAATGCTAGAGTATGGCTCTGCCGCGTATTGTCCTATCACCCGAGGCGAAGTAGAAAAGATTGAGCGAGTGCAGCATGTAGCCACCAGGCTGATTCCCAACTTACGAGGTGTGCCGTACGAAGACCGGTGTAAGAAACTAGGGCTGGACACCCTAGCTTATCGTTGAATGCGGATTGATCTCATCGTGACGCACCGGATATTACATCTGGGAGATTGCCCTATGTTGAAGCCGCTGCTTCATCTGCGCACACCAAGCAGTCCACGAGGACACCGGTACAAGCTTGTCGTATCGGATTTGAAGCGGGTCGCTCACCAACTCTGTTTCGAACGCAGGTTGGCGAATGTATGGAACGACCTGCCGCAGCTCGTAGTTGGGGCGAAGTCGTCGGAATTTAAGAAATTCCTGGACAAACACTTTGCCGACACCACAACGTACTGGATCTTTGTCCCTGAGTAACTTTAGATGCAGCTACACAAACGACTACTTGCTGCTTCCAGCCAGTAATCACATGCATGTTGAACTAATTGCGCTCGGCTTGTCCTCACCCTATTTATTATACACATCTGAAGATGCTACTGCGGCAACCACTGATCAAGCTCCAAGGCTGAGTCATCGTTCGTTAATCAGATTCTAGTGAACAGCCGTTTGTGTGCGGTTGTTGGAGGACAACAACTATGCTTGATTCACGAAGTACTACCAGACGCTTGTTGTTGGTGGTTTCCGCTTATGCCTCCACCGACTGTGGTTCTGATGCGGTCAGGGATATCTTCTGTCGCGAAATGAACATGCCGCTTCATATTGTTGCCCATTCAGATACCATAGTTCTTGCAGGGGATATGAACGCACAAGTAGAGCGTCCGAGCTCTTCAGAAGCTCAGTTGGGTGGTAATTATGGGCTTAACTCTGAAACGTCTGACAACGGCGAGCGTCTGCTGCAACTGTGTGCGGACCACCAGTTGTTTTTTAATAGCGCTGCTATTACACACAGTGGACGCCGAAGTGCCACTTGGCGTCCTCCTGTAGCTGGCCAGCGTTGGACCCAAGTGAATCATATTGCCATAAGTTACAGGTGGCGTGGTTCCATCCTGGATTGTCGCCTGTACTGGAATTCCTGCGTCGACTCTGACCATACCTTGGTACGCTGTCATTTCTCCATGAACTTTACCGGGAGGCGCATCAAGCCTCTCCCCCGATTCACGACTGAAGAATTGTCTCAGCCCTCGGTCAGGCAAGCCTATCACGACGTACTGCGTACCGAACTTTTACACCCTTGTACTAATGACACTGAGCTTCAGTGGAATAGGATCTCGTCCGCCATGCACGACGCAGGAGCATCTGCTTTTGACACTATCAGTCGTCACCGCACCAGTCACTGGATATCCGTGATGTCGGTGAACCTGTTGGAATCCAGAAGAAACCTGGTCGGCTCTGAGCACAATGCGACCAGACGGACTATTAGGCGCGAACTGAAACGGAGCCTGCGTGCTGACAAGGAAGCCTGGTTCACTAGTACGGTTCAAGAAATGGGGGAGGCAGGAGCAGTGCGCAATTACCGTAAACTCTTTCAGCTGATCCGCACCACTGGTCGCAGGAAACTAGGCGTCAATGAGACAGTCAGCAACAGCACGAGTACCCCAATTCACAGTAAGTAGCGCCGTATATCTCGTTGGGTGGTGCACTTTCGAATTCCGTTCAGTTGACCTCCTGCTCCTGACCTATTCCTACTCAGGTCGTGCAAGCTGAGCCATCGCCAGTTAGTTTAGGGGCTCCGTCGGAGGCCGAAGTCCGAAACGCAATCACAGCGCTTAAACATTTTCATGCTGTTGTCCCGGATTCCCATGAAATGTGTGAACATTTTATACTCCCTGTATTCAAGCATCACAGGCCGCGTCAGGGTTTATGGTGACGTACCCGATATCTTCCCGACATGTGGCATTCTTCATGGTTGTTCGATTTCCCCATCTTTGTTCAACTTCAACGTGGACTCCATCATGGAGTGTTCCTTTTCGAAGCTTTACGATGCAGATATTGGTGTGCTGCTTGGCGGAAAGCCAATACTGCTACTACTACTACTAATGATAATAATAATAATAATACTAATGTGTCAGCTGTACTCTATAACGACACTTCGCTGCCATGCGACCACTACCAGTCGCACGCGGACTAAATATACCGCGAGGACACCTACCCCTATACAGATTCGAACCCGCGCCGCAAGATTACGAGACAAGCTCGTTACCTCTAGGCTACGGACCGAAAAGGTACGGTGAAAAGCTACTTGATCTTGATTATACAGACTATATTGTCTTACTTTTCAGCGATGTTGGGGCGGCCCAGTCAGCGCTGAATGAGTGATCCCATTATTTGGTATGCGCTTCACGCATTCAAAGTGCAAAGGCTTGTTGCACGACCACCAGCCGCTTGAAGACTCCTTGATTCTTGATATTGAGGAACTTGAGACAGTTGCTCACTTCACCTGCCTTGGCAGCTGCATCAGCAACGATAAGCGCATAAGCACTGAAATCAGTCCACGTATTACAAAATCCAAAACTGTCTTCCTGGATCTGCGACATCTTTGGTGTCAGAATGTTGTTTCCCTCTGTCTTAAAGGCCATGTTTAGAATACCACGGTGAGGGCCGTCCTACACTTTGTGGGATGGGGCGTCTTCAAGTCTTTGCTCATCACTCTGCGAAGCATTGTTGGTGTCGGGTGATTATCAGTCTAGTATCTTAGATTAGCAGATAGCATTGAATAAGCTGCGTTGGCTTGCGCACGTACTACGGATGTCCGGGTGCCACTTACCTAAGAGGCCTTGTTTTGTTTGCCCGGTGTATCCTAGCACAAAGCTTGAGGTGGACAAGACTTGATTTGGCAGCAAGAAATGAAGTCACTGATGACTAAATTGGGCGCTGTCGGTGCGTGGCGCTTGAGTCCACTTGACTCGCCTTGTGCTTGGCTCGATACTTTACAGGACCTAGCTCGCAGTCGACACTAGTGGCGTGTCTGCTGTAGTCTCGTAGTCTGACTGGCTATTTAAAGTATATTTTGGGCCGGATTATCTGCGAGGTAATGACTAGGGCAGTGAAACCCGCAAGGAAGCTGTCTCACTGATGCCACCTTATATTTGCAAGATAGCCAGCTGTATGTGATGGTATGTTGTTGACAAAGTGTAGGCGTCTTGACCCTGTGTGTTTGTTTAGGGCGTCAAGGTTTTACGCTGGCCCCCTTTCTCCCCCTCTTCTTATTCTTCGTTCCGTATATTATATATATTAAACACCATCTGTGCTACAGACATTGTGTCATCGGAATCATGGCTTAATAGGTCATGGTGGTTGTACTGCATCGAAACATCAATCCAAATGGATGATGTATTGCTGTTGATTATGATATGGTTGATAATCTTATCTTCGATCCCATGGGCGCTAATATAGCTACTTAGATACTTGAATTTCTGAACGACTTCTGGTTGATACCTATCATGGGCTAGCACAGAGATGGGTCCTTGTCAACCTCGTTGGAGGACTTTTCATTTCGATGTTCCAAAGCATAGTCTGAACCGACTGACAGCCAACACTAATGTATTCACTGCTGCTTGGCACCTTCGTTAGCTATCAGAGATGTGGGCGATCTTATCGGCGTACTCCAAGTCCACACCTTCCAAGTTGTGTCTAATGAATGCAGTTCCCATGACTTCGTCGATGACGAAGTTAAAAAGGAAATGTGACAGCGGGAAGCCTTCTCACAGCGCTGGATATAATGAAGGGCGGCGACAGTTTGCCATAAGAACGCGCCCAGCATTTACATATTTTTCATGCACGGTATTACTGTACTCTATTATTTCATCACGCTAGGTGACACATGATATATACTGATACATACTGCGCTGACCATGAACGCGTTTCGATGACATCATACACGATGTGTCACCTTTTTACTGTATATCACATTTCATTTGCTTTGGATGCACTATTGATGCAACCGCCATACTTTTTCCACATGTGGTCTATTATGCTAGCCACAGAGGGCATGATCTTCCTCTGCGATCTGTTACTCCGAATCCATTTATGTCCTCACAGCACAGTTAGAGTATTGACTCGATGAGTGTCTCGCGTTATACGTTTCGAAGTGTTCTGCTGTTCTATTTTTTGTTTTTTCCTGTGGCTTCATTCCGGTGTGCTGCTCAGGTCATGTACATGTCAGGGATTTTTTTGTTTTCTCAATAGCTGTGCGTTTGGTTTCTTGCAGACTTGATTTCAATTTGTTGTTTTGTTTTTGTTAGGCTTCGAAAACTTCTGTGATTAATCTGAAGAAAACAATAAACGAGCTAAAGGAACGTCTTTGCGAGAATGAACGAATCAGTAAGGCACATATCCTTGACCTGGAGACTACTCAAGAGACTAGCGCCCGACTACAGCGGTCATTGGTATTCGCAGTGAGACATTTGATGTCCCGACCACTGTCTTCTTGGTGGACGCCTCCCTCAGATATTGTCCACCCTTGGCCTCCTACAGACCCAGAAGCGCAGTTGAATTTCCTAATTTCCTCCGAGCTTGCGGCTTATAACCAGTTGAAGAAACTTCATATTAGCCCCGATAATGCCTCAGAAGCTCTTGAGGTTCCAAACAAAAACTCAGATACTCGAGGCGGCAGCACCACTGAGGAAATTGCTGGCTTGTCAGCTAAAGGCATCACCGAACTAGCGCATCAGTTGTGTGCATCGTTAGATGAAGATTTTTGTAAGACGAATTGGGATCCTGAAGAATGGGATGCTGTTCTATATGCACTGTTGAAGGTAGGAAACCGCATGCATATTTCGTACATTTGGCTAGTATTTTCATTCAGGTTTTCACAGTTATTTTTGTCTGCAAACCCTGTCTGTTATCCATTATTTACAAATATCATTTATGCGAAATTTGCCACTCTTTTATCATTCTTTTAAACACGACTCGTTTGAAATGCTTAGGCAAATTTGGGGGGAGGGTATACTCACCTAGGCATTGATTTCTAAGCGTATTCGCTTATCTGACCTATGAAATCTTCGCTCTTGCGCTCCACGAAAATCTGCTATTGTCTGATTTATTCTCTCTCAATAACTCTAAATCCAAGTACATTTTTACTTTCTTAAGGTGTGCTACGCTACTACCACCGTCAGGTACATTTGTCGTTTTAGCTTATGAACTCTTTTACTTCGTTTTATATTATGTGAACTTTGGGGCATTTAATGTTCTCCCTGCATATGCATTGCCGAATGTATGATCGCGAGGCCAGATGTTCTGAATTAGTATAAAGTTACGCTGGCATTCGGGTTAAGCAATCGCTCAGTGAATGCAATTGTAGGTCGTTGATCGCATGTTCACCAGACCTTACTAGCAGCAAGCAAATCCTCATGTGGTAAGTCTAACAGCCAACATAGACATGGGCTATCCTCGCAGTCTCTGGAACTTATCGATACCCGCCGGCACATTCCGACTGAAAGCAAACACAAAGAGACTCGCAAAGACTTCAGAGCCAGCCTGAAGAGACCGCGAATCCCGGCGGTCTCATCGTGCATTAGAGAGGGAAGTTGTCACTGCCCTCGGTAACTATCGGATGTTATTCAGATACGGAAAATGGACCTCATGGGACCTGCTGTTAGTGAAACTAAACGTGACGAGAATAGACAACCTATACACAACTTGTCAAAACGCTTGGATCGTTGGGCTGAGCATTTTGTAAAGCACTTGTCAGATTTCTCGCTGGCCACTGATCGCCCTGCTCCCTGGACTGTCCCTTTGGATCTGCCCTCGCTCAGAAGTCGAACTTGATATTGGACTGTTGAATAAAATCGCGAGACCAGATGATCTTCCTCCGGACCACTTGTTGACGATTTGCACGACTTATTACTGAAACTGTGGGAGGCAGGAAACTGTCCCACCCGACCAAAGCTGCTCTGTTATTGTCCCGATCTTCAAGGGGAGCTCACGATCGGAATGCGGCAACCATAGAGGAATCAGTCGAATCTCCATCATCACCAAATTGCTTGCCTCTGTCGTCCTTCACAGACTGGCTGGCACTCGGGAAAGCCAGATTGGTGAGGAGCAAGTCGGATTTCGTCAAGGTCGGGACTGCATCGAACACATCTACACTTTGCGTCAATTGTTAGAGCACCGTCACATATATTGGCGGCTCCGCGCTGTCGTGTTCCTCGGCATCAAAGATGCCTGAGATTCGGTTGATCGATGTTCCCTTTGTGACTGTCTGTTAAGGAAAGGTGTGCCCGAGAAATATGTAAACATTATCCGAGCGCTATACGTGCGTAGCTGGAGCAGAGTGAGGGCTTACGGCAAGCTGTCGCCACCCTTCAATATCTCCAGTGGTGTGTGACAAAGAAGCCCTTTGTCACCTTTCCTATTCAGCTTCGCTATTGACGAGGTCATGGAGATTGCGTTCACCGGGCTAGATTTAGGTGAGCGACTTCTTGACGGAGTATGCTGATGACATTGCCCTAATCTGTGACAGCTCACAAACGTGCCAAGGTGCACTAGACAGATTAACACTGAATGTCAGATGATTCAGGCTATGATTTGCACCCTGGAGGTACAATGCTTTCCTCCGGAATTGGCAGTGACTGCCTCCTGCGCTGACCCCTGGGGGGGGATCAGCTGGAAGTCGTTCAGAAATTCAACTTACTGGGAAGTTGTATCAACGCCTTAAGGATCGAAAACGAGGTTACAAACCGTATAGCAAAAGCTCGAGATGCTTTTGCTAACCGCCCCCTATGGCGCCAGCGTGACATCACTCTCTCCCTGAAGAGTAGTGTGTACAATGCAGCCGTCCGTTCAACTCTTTTTTGCGGCTGTGAAACCTGACTCCTTAGACTAGCAGACATCAGGAGGCTGGTAACTTTCGACCACCGCTGCATTCGCAGTTTGGCTCACATTTAGTGGGAACACCGCGTGAGCAACGAGCGTATTCGACGCTTTGTTTATGGCACAGGGAAGGGAAATGAACCGCTCACTACCGTTATCTGACGCACCAATCTGCGATGGTTGGGTCACGTTTTGCACATGCTAGTCCACCGACTCCCGCGAAGTGCGTTGTTTGCGCACTGTGGATGGGAGAAGAGGAGGGTTGACCAGGCGATGACTTGGTCGAGAGCAATGAAGGACCTTACTTCGACGTTGACCACGGTTGGAGCTTCTCGGCTCTTTGGTTGTGGTTCGAAAGTTGATAAACGCGTTTGGCTGGACAAATTTGCTGACCTGGCTAGGAGTCGACCTCAGTGACGTTACTGTTGTGAGCTTCTTTGTCCCTCCCCATCCCTCTTATTCTCACCCTCTAACCGTGATCTCATTTCTTAGCACAGTGTAAATTTTTCATAATAATAATTTTTGCTGCAATGTAGCCGGCTGGTATCTTTCCTGAACCATGCCTGTTCGTTACTGGTATCTCAGCTAGTGTACACCTGTTGTAGGCTTTTTTCTTTTTTATGTATTGTGGCACAGTAGCTGATGTGTTTGCCACCTGTAACTAAAGTGTGTAATCATGATGATGATGGTCCTCTTGTACTGCTGTGAGACTTCGCCTGTTTGCTTAAAAGACACGAAACGGCTGTCAGTTTTTGACAGTCGTCCGCGTAGGATTGCTCGCGTACGGTGACATCGCCTAAACAACACAGAAGTACGAGACCGAGTGCTAGGAGCAAATACCCCACGCCTCCGACACCGCAAGTGTTGGCTCGGCCACGTATTGGATGTGCCACCCTATCGCCTTCCCCGTCGAGCGTTGTTTGCGCTCCCCAGAAGCTGGTGCAAAAACTGCGGCGGTGGACAACTAATGACGGGGAGAAGGAACATGAATAATACAACCTCAAGCTTGGCATCCGTCGCACCGGTCCGCCTTCGAGGCTGCGGACCCCGCGACCCGGATTCTCAGTGTTATGACGCGCAACAGACATTAGTGGCAACAATCATGTTCAACCTCAACATCTATTACTTAATGTCTAATGGTACGTATAATCTCTGAGGACCCGAATCGTTCTCCTGTCAGGTGTGGGCGCTCTGCCAGTATCTTAGTCCATCCTTTTCGGAGGTTAGGAAGTGGTCGATGACCATCTTTTCGCAAAACCTAGCCATGGGAGACAACAGGTCTACGGATTATAATCTCACAGCTCGATTTTCGTAGAGCACGAGCGCCAAGCAGTCTCTGACGGTGGGAGGCACCTCCGGTTTGCTACTACCCGCCCAAACCCACCTGCGTCTGGCCGTGGTCGCAGGTGCTTATTCTATTACGGTCTCAAAATAAATATGAATCGTTCCAGTACCTCAAAGGCTGCGTGTGACGGCCGCCAAACAGATCACAATATATCACTGCCATCACATTCCCGAACTGGATCTGCTCCGCGCTGCCTTGTGGGCCAGACTATTGAGCCAAAGGCTCCGGGTGGAGTCCCTCAAGCAAACCTCCGAGTCACATCAGCCACCTCGCGTGCGATTGTCCACCAATGCAATCGTGTGCCTACGCGCACAGCACTCAACATCGGGTGCTGGAACGTGCGCACACTTATGGATCGGAACTGGAGTGAGCCCCCGGAGCGACGCACTGCATTTGTTGCGATGGAACTGCGCGCTACTACATTGATATTGTGGCGCTCATTGAGACTCGACTCGCTGTGCGAGGTAACTTGCATGAAGCAGGTGCTGGATACACATTCTACTGGGTGAGCAACGCCGCCTCAACACCACGTGAACATGGGGTCAGATTTGCCCTATCCGATCGACTCCATCGCCAGCTGTTGGGTGAAGCAACAGGCATCAGCTCGCGACTGATGACTGTTCGCCTATGACTCGGAAGAGGTGAGTTTGCTACTCTTGTAAGCACGTACGGTCCGACAATGTGTTATCCTGATGGCACGGGTTATCAATTCTACACTCAGCTATCCTCCGTGATACGGTCTGTGCCGATGAGCGACCGACTGTTTCTGCTGGGTGATTTCAACGCGCGTGTTGGGCGTGATGAATCGGTGTGCACAGATGTTATCGGTCCGCACAGCATTGGTTCAGCGAATGCGAACGGTAACGGGTTGCTCTCACTGTGTGCCACTCACGGCCTGACGATTACGAACACTCGATTTGCACTGAGTACGAGTGATAACGCAACTTACCCACGTACCCACGGAGTGGTTACGCGCACCTGCTCGACTACGTCATCGTACGTCAGCGTGATATGCGTGAAGTGCGCATGACACGTGTACTGCGTGGAGCTGAGTGTGGCACTGTTCACAAGTTGATTTGGACTAAACGGTACATATATTTTCGTAAATCAATGTGTTGCACTCCCGCCGTGAATCGGCGTAAATTTAACGTTCTCTCCCTCGGTACTGTGGCGAAATGTGTATAGCTGGAGAAGGCGATGACTGCACGACTGTGTGATGTGGACTGCATGGCCACAGTGGGCGACCTGTGGCACCACATTCGCGACCAGGTGAGAGCTGCTGCCGAAGAGACCATCGGGCGCGCAAACTGTAAGCGACATGATTGGTTTGATGAGAACAACGCGACGATTGGCGCATTGGTGTCGGAGAAGAATGCAGCATTTGCTGCACATGTCGCAGACCCCAGTGACTTGGGGAAGAGGAGTCAGTTTCGCAAACTTCGACGGCGATTGATCCGAGAGCTCCGTCGCATTAAAAATTCATGGTGGACGGAGAAGGCGAAGCAGATGGAATGTTACGCCGAACGTCGCCAACGCAAGGAATTCTTCGACTCACTGATGGCGGTGTATGGACCGAGATTGGAGCCGCTGAGGACGTTAACCGATGATAGTTCAGGTGCTATCTGCACACAGACTACAGACATAATGCAGATTTGGCGGAAGCTCTTTGACTGTCTCTTGAACAACCATTCAGATGTCGACTGACCTACTTTGGATCGCCTGAAACAGAACGATGTGAAGGCGAGTCTGGCGGACCCGCGTTGTTGACTGCGCTGCATCACTTGGTACAACGCGTATGGATTGAGGAGGAGGTGCCTGCTGAGCTGAAGGATGCCTTTGTGCTACCACTGTACAAGGGTAAAGGAAGCAAGCAATGTTGCACGAATTATCGTGGCATCAACTTGCTGAGTTGTGTGGGCAAGGTGATTGCCCGAATCCTGCTCAACTGCCTCGTCAGTCAGGTTGTGGAACCTAACGTGGAGGAAGAGCAATGTGGATTCTGTTCGGGTCGCAGCACTATAGATATGGTGTTTGCGGCTCGTCAGTTACAGGAGAAGTGCAGAGAACGACACCAGCCATTGTACTCGCTTTTCGTTGATTTCACCACGGCATTTGATACGGTGAACCGCGAGGCATTGTGGCTGGTGTTGGGTAAGTTTGGTTGCCCGCGTAGGTTTGTAAGTTTAATTTACAGTGGTATGCGAGCGAGGTTGCAGCTGAGTGGAGTGACCTCGGATGACTGCAGTTGTCTCTGTTGTGAAGCAAGGCTGTGTCTTAGCTCCTGCTCTGTTTAATATCTATCTTCATGCAATGTTGTCTTGTGCTTTTGATGCCGCTTTTGCTTACAGTGTTCGTGTGGAGCACCGTATTGATGGTGGGTTGCTGAACATCCGTCGTTTCGGTGCGAGATCTCTAATCTGTGAGACAACTATCCGTATGTTGCTGTTGTTTTTACACAATGCGGATGAGTTGCAGCACATGACTAGTGCTCTGGCTTCGACAGCGGCCACATTCGCGCTCACCATCAACACAAGCAAAACTGTCTGTCTCTTTCAGCCTTCACCGGAGGTGCAATCTTCAATATTGCCGCAAATCAGCCTTGGTGCTGTAGTATTGGAAACCACCTCCCGCTTCTGCTACCTTGGGAGTGTGATGTCGACTGACCAGCAGCTACATATTGAGCTGCGTATCCGCGTATCGAGGGCAGCGGCGGCATTCGGGAAGCTAGAGTGCCGAGTGTGGAACAACCATCAGCTTACTGTTGGCACGAAGCTGAAGGTGTACAAATCCATGGTGCTGTCCGGCAGTGAAACGTAGACGATGTACCGGCGGGATGTGCGATATCTCGTGCGGTTCCATCAGCAGTGTTTGCGACGTATTTTGCGCATCGATTGGGGCGACAGAGTCGCAGACACGGAAGTGTTGTGCCGAAGTGGAGTGTATGCAGTGGATTGCATACTTTTTCTGAGATGCCTGTCGTGGCTCGGTCATGTGAGCCGTATGGGTTCGATGTGGATACCGAAACAATTCTTGTATGGTCAGCTGAGTATTGGGAAGCGGCATGTGGTGAAACCGAAGCTTCGTTACCAGGACATGATCAAAGTGACCCTCTCACGTTCTAATCTTGATTGCAGATCATGGGAATCGAAGGCGGTTGATCAGGGTGCATGGCTCGATCAAATCACGAAGGCGGTTGCCAAGGTGCAGGAGAAAGGGCTCCTGCATGCGGAGAAGTGGCAGCAAGTGCGGCAGCGACAGGCGCCGATGGGTTGTACTCCATCGACATCGAGTGCATAGTGCTGTGGCACATGCGGTCCGCGATTACCTGAGTCAGGAAGGCCTAGTGAGCCATTGGCGAGACCACTCGGGGCCTCCATTAAAGCGACGACGGGTTCTGCACAGAACGTAGGCAGGACCGGCGCAGCGTACGCTGTATTTGATTTACTAACCGATTGCTTGCATGTTGGGTCTATATTTCAGGTGGTGGTCTCGCTCTATTGTCTCATTATTGCCTACTTGAACTATCTTCTATTTATTTGCACACGTCGCTCAAGTTAATTGTAGTTAACTTTGATAACATTTTCGCGTTTGTGACATTTTCTCAAAACATTTTCTGACGCCTTGAAGATATAGTGGATTATTTGGCAACCAATTTATGTCATACGCTCATTTAATAAAGAACTATGTCCGTATATCTGTATGCATTATTCTATCTGTCATTTTATATTGTTGTTTCAAGTGATTTGGGGTTGCCTGATATCCCCGGTGTGGCTGCGCTTGATGTGCATGTTGACATGGTGCCTATCTGTCTATTACCCACTACGTCCATACTGGCTCTAGGGGCGGACAGGGTGCACGGCTCTGGTGGTCGTGTTAGGCTCGAATAGTGGTTCCATGCACACAGTGTAGAGCGGATCACGGTCCAGCCACCGCCTTGTGTGCGCTTGATTCCCAAATACAGCGTGCTTGTGTTTTTGCCTGTGAAAGAGTGTGGGCCGGCTCCGTTGATGAAACGTGGTTCCCATCCACATGGCTCCCGGTCTTATACCTTCGGGTTCACACTGGATATGGGTTTATGTGGTTGGAACTGTGGGTGGTGCAGTGCAAGCCACCCAAAGATTAAGCTGTAGGCGCAGATCTCCTGTGCCTGTCCCCCTGGAGATCGCAGTGACAGGCCAATCCGGATATGGATGCGGCCAAGTCATACATATATATATATATATATATATATATATATATATATATATATACTGGAAAATAGTTCTCTGATAGAAGCTTTCTCATTGTGTCATCCGACATCCAGGGAACGAAACATTATGAAATTACGCAGTGATATATCATTCACGCTTCTCGTGGCAGTTGGTATTTTGATTTTAGTGAAAACTCAGCATGAAGGATAATTTTTCGTTAACTCTGCTTCCACTCCATCAAGCGGCAGTTTCAAGCTTCATGAGACGTCAGCAGTCTCGGCAACACTTGTCTTTTTCCTTGAGTTGTATAAGCGTGTATCGTGATGATTGCTGATTGCATTAATGCTCAGAACTTTCGTGTCAAGTTGCGAACACAGCACGGGAGATTATTTCTTAATCAATGGCTGGCTTGTGACACCCATCAGGCTCGTGAACAGAGCTCATTACCATATTGAGTGCATATATATTTCACGAATGTGTCATCGTTCCTACCTCATGACATTCCTTTTACCGGGGTCAGCGAAGCGCCTTGCACTTATCTCCATTCATGATCCCACGGTATGCGATTCATCAGTATTAAAACGTATTATCTTAACTGTTACTGACGAGCGAAATGAATGAACGAATGCCGGTTGGAATAACCTACGATGCATCTCAAAGAATCCACTCTTATTCTATTGCATTCGTCATTTAGTGGATGAATTTCTGATTTGCGTGTCAGCTTTTTTGAAACGAGGAAGCCGTTTCACCGCTCTTACAGTATGTCCACAACTTTATTGTTTGAGAGTGTCGGTAAGTATCGGGTGCCGCTAACCTGAAGGTTTCTTATGATACCCTCTGATGGATTCGCTTTGCTTGAACTTCGGACAACTGGAAGATCGTGTTATACAAAGCGGTTAGCTTTGTAGTTTGGTTTGAGTACGGTGGGGTCCGCATCTTTTGCACTTCATTGTAAACCCAATATGTCGGAGCGGATGAACTTGTGTTCTGTCCTGACAACCAGATCTGAAGGACAACGGTGAAATAGGGGTACTTAATGACGAGTGCTGATGGTGTTGATGATATACACTCAATTAACTTATGCCGATTACATGTCCTACTGTCGAAACTATATAGTGGCTCGAAATGTCATTCCACAGCACCCTGTAGCACCCGTATTTTCATTGAATTGTTCCATGTAGTCCACATTTAGTTGCTTGCGTGCGTACCGTTTTGCCTGAAATATGATTTGTCATCTGAAGGGAATGCTCAGAATTCGCTGCTTATCTTCATTTTTACATACATTGCTTATCTCATTAGAATGCAACTGTTGCTGCCGCTTTCACCTATAGCATGTTTTTTATTTCATTCACGACGCTATTTTTGCGTTTAGGTTCGTCTCGTCTTTTACAGAAGTTGTATTTTTCGTCAATTTTTCTAAGTATATGCCCATACTTTTCCTTAATTTTTTGAGTGTCTTGCATAGTTAGGCATCGAGATTTCGTGTGTTCACGCACTAAACCCAGAAGCACTAATGTCCTCCTCCTTCAGTCGTAACTTGTTCGTGGCCTAATGGATCATGTGAAGGCTAAGCACACTCTAAATTACCACTTTTGATACAAACAACACACATGTTCTTCATGGGATTTAATGTTCATCATTTTATTGCGCCTCAGTGTCAACGTTTGCCGTCTGACTGTTTATTTTAGCCTAGATTTTTGGATCCTCCCGATGCGGCTGTGGAGTATGCTGAGCGATTGACTCAACTGTCCGCTGAAGTAACGTCTTTGCAAGAAATGCTGAACCAACATATCGTTTTCCGTGCTCAAGCGGAACACGATCTGCGTCAGCTTCTTTCGACGATGACCACACAAAAAGAACAGATAGAAAGCCTTTCCCTGGAGAACAGGAAGATGCGCGAACATATTGCAGGATGTGAACAGTCTGTGGATGCTGCTCCGATACCCAAATTGTTGGGATCCAGGGAAGAAAGCGGTCACTACGATGACTTGGAGCAAGTCATTACTGCTGCCCATCACGAACTTGTTCACCATGATGGGGTCTTGTGCAACTCCGACGACGTTGTGTCCATGTTGAAATGTTTGCTTGCTACTTCATCCCATTCAAAATCTAGAGCGGAACAGATTGAATTGATGTACTCCTCCGTGGTCAGTGCTCTTCAAGAGAAGCACTCGGAGAGTCAGGCCTACCATAGCCAACTCCAACAGGCATGTGCAGAGCTTCAAGCATGCAAAGCTGCCAATCAATCACTGCAACAAGAGGTGTCCAGATTTCGAAAAGAATTAACCACATCACAGGTGGCTACTTTTTCACTCCTCAGTGTGTACCTTGTTTTTATCTCATTTACACTTGTTTTCGAATATTCATCCCTACTTCACGCCATATCTCCATCTACATTCGCTCTGCGCTACACCTGGTGCGCTCACGGTGTTCGTATTGTTTACAGTCTAAACCAGTGACAGTTTCTAATTCACTTGTCTACTAATAACCACGGTATTTCTTCGTCGCTGCTGCTTCCACCGCTGACGCGCGTCAATCCTGAGTGACTGTTCAACTCCTTAGGCTCCGTTTCATTGCCACCATTTACACTTCCCTTATGATTGTTGCATCACCCATGACCCGTTAGTTTCTTAGAACGTCGGAACAAGCCGATAGGTGCTGCTCCCTCAAAACGTTGCGCTTCGCGATCATATTATCGCTTTCTAGTACACTTCAGACAGAGATAGCGGGGCTGGTAGTCGGACCTGGGGGAGTAAAGATTACGATCTGACACTTTGACTTGCACACCTCGAACTGCGCGTGCGACGTTCGACACAACAGCTATTGACCCATAATTACTTTCGTTTGAAGCAGTCTGTGTGTTTAGATTGTGACACGCGATTTCAAGGTAGACAGATTTGCCTTTAAGTGAAACTCGGCAAGCTCGGTCATCAGGGCTGTACCTTCAGGAAAACCAACACTGAGTAAATACTAGTTATTTCTTTGGTGCTTGCATCGATCATTTGTTTTCTTCCAGGCTTTTTTTGGCTTTCCCTCGTGTTTCCTCCTCATCGCTTTCACCCAGTCTTAATCCGCCGTTATCTGGTAGGGCTTACGCCGTCATTTGAGCTACTTTTTGTTTCCACCTTCGGTAGGTCTCTGCTGTTCATAATTCACAACTGATAACCAAACCTATTACCCTCATTTTTTTGGTCATTAACGAATGTGATTCATCACAGACGCTTTTACTTTTAACGTTCGAGAGATTCTTATTTGTGCACTTACTCAGTTGCAAGTGTCCGATACTCATGTAAAACACATTTTCTTAACTTACCAAAGTGTCTTGAGAGTGTTCTCTGTTTGCCAATAATTAAACACGAGTAGCAGTCATCCGGTGCATGGGGACATATTTTTTTCTCTGCGCCAATTGAATACAAGGTCGTTCGGCACTCCAAGCTTTTGGCTTACTTTTGCATGGTTCACCGTTACATCACAGATTCTATCCAGGCACATTCCCTTATTTGAGTTTTAAATAATTTTGAAGTTCCAGACACTCTTAGGAGATCCAGCTTACTCAGAGAACGGCACCGCTTCGTTGACTCCATCGATCGATGGTGGTGTAGTGGATTCTGCACATCCGATTCATCCAAGTGTGGAAGAAGCCAAATTGCTTGCGGAGATCTCTCGCTTGCAGTCTCATCTAATTGAGGTTTGTCAAATGTTCATCTTTGCTGTGAAATTTTCTACTTGTACTCCCGTATCTCATTCCTATTATAAAATCATGCGCGCTCCGTGTGTTCTCGCCGTCTTTATTGGTTTCTACTTATATCGATGTGCAATTCCGTTGCCTCATTTGCTTTGCATATATAGATGCAATTAGACCTATATCTGGCTCTTCTCTACAACGAATTGACTGGTATTGAAACATGACAGTGGAAGGAATTTCTGTGTTTCACTTTAGACTTCGTTTAGTAATTATCACTCTGCCTTGAACTCTACTGAACACTTAGATGGACAATTCTCCTGGCCCAGTATGGCTGAATAGTTAGTAAGGCCACATAACTTCATCCCGGATTTTGATGCATCATCTCGAACCCCTTGACAAGTTCAGATACGAAGTATTGTTACGGAAACCTATGAAGGCAATTAGCCCTGACAATCTTCCATCCTCGTAGTTTAACAACTAGGGCAACTCATTGGTGCTCGCATTGACCACTCTGGTTGACGCCATATGGCATGAGCGGAGAGTACCACCTGGTGATTGTCAAATGTCAATCCCGTTCACAAAAGGCACTGAAGGGCGTCATGCAAATTTATTTCGGCATTTATTTCCTCTCGATTGTCTCCAAACCAGAGTACATCTTGCTGTGGTTGCCGGCCAATTCTCGGTATAAACGTGTCAGCAGAAGTAGGGTTGGCCTCCTCCCTGATATATGCCGACAGATGGCAGAAAGCACGAAGCGTCTGCCTTGCAACCCGAGTTCCGTGAATCTGCGTAGGGGACCGGGCGACTTGCGCAGTATCCTTAGCTCACGCGCAACTGTTGGTCGTTGCGTGGCAGCGACGCATCAGTCCGACGTACTGCAGATGATTTATATGCCGCATCATTATTGTAAAGTCCAAAAGAACTTTGATTTCCTGTACCAGATGGATTATTCCCTCTTGATGGCTCTGTGATCCTATTCGCATCTCTTTCCACCTTTCGCGCTTTGGATCGCTACGTGCTCAATGGAATATTGCTATTCATTCACTTTTCTCAAGGTCACGCTTTCCTCAGTCTACTGTTAACATTAGTCTTACAGTTATCTGTTTCCACCCGCAGACCTAGTCGTGAGCCCTGTCTTGTACGTTTTTCTACTTTTTAGAATCATCGTTACAGGGTTATGCTACAAATTCTGTCCCAACCGTTTTCTGCCAAGATCTTGCATAAAGTCTAGGTGTATAGCTCGAAGTATCAATATTTATTATACAATTCCTACGACGTAATTCGGTTTAGCGTAGTTCCGTCCTTACATTCACTGTACTTACAAAGCTTGTATCATGACCTAGGTTGACGCAAAAACTGCATTTGATACCATTGCTTGCAACTATTTTTCTAAAGTGTTGATTGGAAGTTTATGCCTAATAATTGCGCCTGCATTCTGATATATCTGTAATATGGCCCCCGGTGCCGTGGGTAAATCTGTGAAGACTGCTCCTAAACTCACCAAGAATCATTAGAACGCCTCGGTAATGTATGTTTCAACTTTGCATCCAGTATTCTGAACGACCCCACTCACTCACTATACACTGATCTTACTGGTACAATATGCGTTTAATATACGCGGTCGAACGTTCGAGTTTTATTTTCTTCTACCTCGTCGTATCGGTGTTCCGTCATGCCAAATCTTTATCAGTCGACCCTGTAGGGTTGATACACATGATGCGTGCCGATATGTTTGGGTGAAAATGCGCTTTTCACGTTCTACCTGCCTACTTTATTTTTTTTGGGTGCTGCTTTTTATTACCTCCTCAGTGCCGATGTGATGTTGCTCAGAACTCGCCCATATGGATGTTTAAGGCCTACTTTGGGTTTCATTGATAATTGAGCTCTGCTTAGTCACTGAAATATTCGTATCTACAGATATATTGACCGAATTCCATCGGTACGTTTCTCCGACTTTAATGGTGTTGTTGTTTTTTAAACACGTGAGCTTTTTTTACTCTTCTGTTAGTACCGTTCTCATACGATCGACCATGTGTCTACTGCGCTAGTCGATGACCCATCAAGATAACGAAACTTTCTGCTTCCCTCGCACGTTCATCGAGTTCGGTTTATAGTTTATGGTTTATTACCATTCAACTTATGGGCGCTCCGTCTTCTTTCGCATTGTACAGATAGAGGAATCTTACACTTCTGAGGCTTTGAACGCTGAATCTAGGGAAGTAACTTTACGCGAGAAGCTTGCGGAAATGGAGATGCGTCTCCAGCAAGAGCAGCACATTAGACGTAACGCTGAGGATCGTGTCTGTAAAGCAGAGAGGGAACGAGATGCCGCAAAATCCGAGATGGAGAAGTCAGAGCAGAAACTAATCGCGTTAGAGTCCAATCTAGCAAATCTTCAATCCGTCCTAGAAAGCTTTCAACAAAGTGAGTCAATGTGAACTCCCTCTACAGTCACTATTTTCTCTCCTACCAATGGCCCCATAATCATCTCAGAACATGTCCTCGTTAGACGGTGATACCAAAGGATATATTTTGACAGCATCATGGTCAAATGTCATCTCTACATGAGCGGTTGAACAGGACTATTTACTGGAACCTATGCTAGCAACATTTATTAACCCATTGCCAGCATTTTTTGATATTGTGATATAGCATCTTAGACTTGGTTACCTAATTAATTGTTACGGTAAACGTCTCTATCTAAACTGGAGACGGGTTTGGGATGAAGCAGTTACTGTGAACCACACGGTATTAAACGGATATACCTTCAATGCTACAATGTTAGTAGATAATTCCAGCTCTGGAACGAAGTATCCAACGAATAAATCTCTGGATACATAAAAAAATGAGAAAGTAACAAGATAGGAAAAGGAAGAGAATGGTTACTAGCGACGGTTTTATACGGACAGTTAATACTCTCCGGTTCCCCATTATGAGAGAAATTTTGTTCCAGGTGCCCCATAGCTTTTGACTCAACAGTATGCCACCTTAGGAATGGAGAGCACGTCCATTTCAGGAGTAAAACTTGAGAGTCCATTTGGGAGCTACTTGAAGCCCATTACTCGAGATCTTGGAAGAGCTAAAACCATCCATGTGTGCATTTCGACCGTAGTGCATTATCTATCTGTGACCTCGGCAACCCCAGATAGGAGTTGGCGGATTTGCACTCGTGAGTAGCAGGATTTTTAGTTGTAATCTTTTAAGGTATTTATCCCCCATGGCTCAGTGGCTTAAACTGCTGGCTAGTTGGCATCTGCCTTTAGCGGTCATGTGTTCGACCCCTGGTAGGGGACCGAAAGCATGCGCACCACTGACGAGCCCCAATAGGGCGAAACGCGTCTGGTGCTTTTCCTTACTAGGCTGTGCTATATAGATTGTGAACTAATGGGATGAATACCTTAAAAGGATTTGCACTCCTTTGACCAGGAGTTTCCTGGTTTGAGGCGGTCGGCAGCAATCCATTGAACATCGGGTGATACTCTCCCACAGTTGGAGATAACGCATGGTGCTCGTGCTCTAATTAGTGAGCTTATAATCCGTAAGTTGCCTTTCACGGCTACGTTTGAATGACAAGGAGGATGCTGAGGCAGAGTTGCGCTGATCCCCAACCATTGGCCTGTCTGGTGTGAATGGCTCTGAATACAGTTGTAAAGTGCTGTTCAGCGCAGCTCAGTGAGTCACCGAGGCACGCAAATCATCGCACTACGTTGAGATCCATTCTTGTGGAAACGGATGAGGTATCGTAAAACAACATGCTTCTGTTGTGGTCATAGGGGAATCACAGTGCTAAGTACAAGGAAAGTGTGTTGCATCCAGGTGTACTGTAACTTGACTTGAACAGCTCTTGCAGCTTGTAGCTAGCGAGTGGGCCTCGGTGAAGAAAGCTCCCTGAATTCTCACGGTTACACGTTTATCAGTAACCGTATGAGTTACTCTATCACTCTTCTACTCTAATCCACTGACATAAGTTGATAGCGCGGTGCAGTTATGTAACGGTGTCAAAAGTAATCGTATTATGCTTAGGCATCATAGAAATCAAACCTGATTCCGTTAAGTTACCTCGAACTTGGTGTGCATAACTTACTACAGATTGCACCCACCCCAAAAATTTTCTGTCTGCAATCTCGCCAGTAGAAATTGCGATTAATCTCGATTTTACAAACGTCCTCATCACGTTTAATAGCGGCCGCGGTGTGACAGTCATTCTTTGATATACTCTGCTGAGTTTTACTCTTTACACACACACACACACACACACACACACACACACACACACACACACACACACACTGTGCTCTGCGTATTGAACATGCTATGTTGTTGATGGGTGATAAGCCAGTTATTCGCCGGTTGAGTTTTGAACTTGAGAAACTAAGTATAGTTGGTCGGTGCACTTATTTCATTACTCTTGAAAGTGAGGGTAATGACTCCGAACAGTTGTCTGATAGACCATCAGTTTTTGGCGAAGTGATTGGTTCATACATTCCAAAAGCCAGAATTTCGACACCTTTGTCACCAGTAGAATTTCTCATGCTCTTGACTACCGTCTGTTCAGGATCACAATAAATTTATCCCCCTCCACTCTAGTGGGGCTTCTTGCCTTCTGTTAGTCATCCTCTTGCATCATGTTTTGTTCATCGTCACTAGGTCTAGCGACGGTAATATACTGCCCAAAAGTGTTCTTCACAACAGTTCTCGCATTAGTTGTGTTAATTAGTTAACAAGATGGAACAAATTGATCGTCTTCACGCACGGGCCACTCACACTGAAGGTGTTCCTGTGCATTCCGGGATGTACTTGTTGATACCGCCTGTCATGTTAACAATACCCGTGTATTCTGCGTTAGCTTCATTGTATGCTTTTGTGCATCTAGCGGCAAATGCATGGCTTGGTGGGCTTAACGGCGTTCAACTTCCTGCATACCCAATTTATGTACCTCAGTTGTGAAAGCCGACAATGTCAACATTGAGGTCGCGCGTGATGAGTGATCCTCATGCACAAATGGTAGGCATTTCACCTTCACGACATTGAGACTGAATCCTAGTGTTCCGTTGACGACACCGGTCACAGGCCGCTTCCTGTATCGAATGGCAGGGTATGATGGAGAGTGATGCGGCGTTCTGAAGAGTGCCGGACCCTATTCAGTTACTAAAAACAGTCCACAATCTGGTTTGATCCGGGTATCTATAATGAACGACCGCCCATCGTGTATTGCTCGCGTATTTCCTCTTCCACCCTCTCTCACTGTTTCCCAGTCGCACAGGCAGCGGGAACTCTAATTCAGTTTCGATCGGGTCGCCTCACCTTTGATGACAGTGTGCAATCGATTCGCTTCTAGAGCGAATCCTCACACCGTGCACCCCGTCTCCCCAAGGAACGACCAACGGCCTCCTGGAACCAGTATAATCGAGGTAGCAGTTGTTCGACAGGTAGGCATCTTGTCAACGTTTACATCAGGTGTGGCCAGACCGGGTATATGAAAGGGAATATCAAGCAAAATAAGCACGCAAACTGTGCAATAAACGTGTTGCAGACTGATGGAACAGAGTGAAATAAAACATATGCATTAATTCTGATCTAGTTTAAGGGTGATCTTTAGTAGGTTGGAAGTTAGCAACCGATAGACAACGAAAAATGGAAAATACGCTTTAAATAAATAAAGAATACGCAGAGGATTATCAGAACTGAGCAAATGAAGGATGACGGATTTCGTCAGATATAGTGTAGTGCTGAACAAGCATTAGTCTAGGTCGCTATAGCTTAACGCAAGGTGAATAGGGGTTCGGATGCTACTCCTCAAACCTTTCCATCTTCTTGTTCCCCGTTTTATGCTTTCTTATCCTTGTCGTCCGTTCCAACTTCACTTTTATACCCCGTTTACAACCCCCAATTCTTGGCCCTCCCCCACCTTGCTTTAATAGTCGCCTGTCTTCTAGTTTCAACTGACATGCAAACGCGGAGCGTCACCTCTGCCCTGTCGACAACCCATGTCTAACCAAGCCATAAAGCCCAGTTCATCGGCTTTTATTTGGAGCGCTCGATAGTCCTTCAAATTATCATGCCACAACGTACGGACTTTGTTTCGAACTGGCCAACAGGCATCACTTGCCCGAATATTAGAGCCTCTCTATCGATACTACTACTTATCGTAAACCCGCCTGCAATACTGGAGCTCTGTGTTCGCCTTGCGATCCCTTCAAGTGGCCCTAGTATTGCTTTCTCATTGCGCTTATCCGGTGATGATGCGGCTTCGGGTGCGGGCCAAGCCGGTGTTGGTATTGTCCCGAGTCTGCGGGCTGAAGCTACTCGGGTTGATTGGACCCCAATCAGTAGCCGGATGTGTGCGGTCCGACTGACTGGCTCGTTTAAAGCTTCGATACCGCGCGGGATCGACAAGCGTTTGTTTTTCATTGCTACCTACGCGCCTTACAAACTGTAGCGATGACTCGGTAAAGAACGACTTCTATCCCCAACTGAACGAACTCCGCCTTCACAGAAGAAGCACGGACACTAGTGCTGGTGGGAGATCTCTACGCTCAAGCTGGAACATTGTCCACTGATGAGCTGCACCTGGACGGTTACTGAATATAGTTGAAAGTCACTGGTCGCATGTACATCAGAGCTTATTAGAAGCAGGGAAAACCTTGTGGTATGTCTGACAGCTAACATGGACATTGGATCTCTACATAATCTTTGGAACTTTTGGATGCTCGCCGGCACATTCCGGCTGGAAGCAAACACAACGAGACTCGCAAAGACTTCAGAGCAAAACTACATGCTAGCCTGAAAAGAGACCGCGAATCCTGGTGGTCTCATCGTGCGTCAGAAATGGAAGTGGCCGCTACCCCATGGTAACTATCGTAAGTTACTCCATCCGTTACGGAAAATGGACAGCACTTAACGTGACCAGAGTGGACAATCTATACACAACTTGTCAACTTGTTGGGCTGAGCGCTTTGATAGGCAATTTAATCGGACGGGATTGTTAGATTTCTCACCGGCCAGTGATCACCCCGCTCCCTGGGCTGTACCTTGGGTAATGTAGTATTAGTAATCTCAACAGCCTAGTAAATAGACATAGAGCCAACAAAACCATGGAGATTGGCGCATAGGGGCGGAATCACCGCGTCCTAATCGGCCGGTGGCCGAGTGGTTGGCACGTTTGCTTTCCAACCATAAGGTCACCGGTTCGAATCCGCGTAGGGGTGGGCGTCCTCGCGGTATACTCAGCCCGCGCGCGACTGGCGGTGGTCGCGCGGCAGCGAAGCGCCGTTACGGCGTATAAGCTGACACATTTTTTTTTTTTAATCGTCGTGGCACAGTAGTTGAAGGTGAACAACACAATTCAGCTGCTGTGCCGCAAAAAAGGAACATTTTGATAAAAATAGAAGAAAACATTTTTAGTTTGTTCTTCACACGCTGTT